TCCGAGATGCACCTGTGCGCCGAGCTTCATGCTGAACAACAGGAGATGGACCTGTTTGAAGAAAGACAACCACGGAACAACCAGCAGCCATTAGTCTTCTACACTCAAAGAAGAAACGACAGCAACTAGAACCGACGCGATAAGCATAATCGATATGACACAAGAGGTCTCACCGTCGTGCTGCCGTTTTGCCACAATTGTCAGACATCCGGATACTCCAAGGTTAACTGCACACCCTCGAGTTAATCATCCAGCAAATCCGCAAGTCGCCTCCACTCAAGAAAATCCGCCAAGCCGCTCCTCTACACCTACAGGAGACACACCAAACATCGTCAACTGCATGGTACGGTTCGACAACTGCAGACCCGAGTCACCACCCACTTACGCTCCAGACGAAGAAGAACTGCCACCGCCACGTTCACAAGGTCTCCAGCTCAACCCGACGTACACTGCAGTTGCCAACGCCGAACCCACCGGGCGAAACACCTGGTTCTTGGACAGCTGCTGCGGCCAACATATGTGTTCTTCCAGGCGCTTCGTGCAACGAGAGCGACGTCTCAACGGCGATGTCATCATCACCATCGCCAACAATGAGAACCTGAAAACAAATAGACAAGGCGTCGTTCAGCTTCTGTCAATGGAGACAAACGTCATACTACAACTCAACAAAGTCCTCATCGTCGACAACTTGGGATACAACCTACTAAGCGTCAGCCAGTTAATGGCGAAGGGGATTCACCTGGAATGCGACTCGGACAACAACGAGTTTCGCCTTTACCACGGGAAGGGCGGCCTCTTCATCGGTCGCGCTCTCCTAAAGTCGGGCGTCTTCGTGCTGGATTTCGTCCCTGACCGCGGTACCGCCGACAGCGATGGCATCGTGTCGTTTGCCTCCTGGACGCACCCGCCGGATCTTGACCCCGACTTTACTCCAGACGACTTCTTGTACTCCAACACCATCCCTGCAGCAGAAAGAACACGAGCATTAGCAGTCATCCGACAAGAACGACAAGTACCACCAAGCGTCCCTCACATGACATCACACGTAGTAGCAGCAGCAGGACCCAGCCGTACGCCATCACCAGCAATCCGAGGACCGCCATCCGAAACAAATCAACTCATGCCCATCACCCGAGGAGTCTGCCGCAGTCCCGCCACGGTTGTCGCGTTCTTCTCCAACGCCGGCCTGTACCAGCGCTCACCCGGCCATCGCGCTCCCGATGACATCTGGCATCAACGCCACGGACACCCTGCAAACAGCACAGTACTACAAACTATACAAGCCGGAGTATTAGAAAAGGAAGCTCTTCTAACAACGAGCGGGCAGGAGCTTCGACGACCCCACGCATGATGCTTCATGTGTCCCGAAGCTGATCTTCCCCACCAACCTTTTCCGTTGCACTACAATCCAAACGCACCTGTATACGCACCGATGGAAAAAGTATACTGCGACATCTTAAATATGCCTCGAGACGACAGTGAAGCAGAGTACAACTATGTCATCACGTTCATCGACGCAGCAACACGATACGTCTGGCACTACAACCTCAAGACACGTGATCAAGCGTTCGAAGCGTTCACGACGTGGCTCCCCATCGCTGAACGAGAGTCGGGGTCGCAACTCAAGAGTTTCCAGTCAATCGGGGCACTAGAGTACCAGTCACAACGATTCGGGAACTACTTGGCAGAAAGAGGCATCAGATGCCTTGTGTCTCTGCCCTACACTCACCAGCAGCAGGGGGTCGCAGAAAGGATGAACAGAACCTTGCTGAAGACGATGTGGAAGCTGCTTCTGGGGATGAGACTGCCCAACATGCTTTGGCCTGACGCGATGACGCATGCAGTCCACCTGCACAATTTGCTGTCCTCGTCATCACTTCCAAACAGCGAATCACCGCACTTGCTGTGGACAGGAAAACAGGGCAGTACAAAATTACTTTGAGTCTTCGGCTACATGGTACAGTACAGACCCCACACAGCCCGAGCAGGTCGATTCTCTCAACGAGCACGGTGGGGACTACACCTCGGCATCACAAACCATTTCCAAGCATGGAAACTTCTCGACATTCAGGACAAAACCACCGTGGCCCTACGCGATGTAATCTTCTACGAGCGACTGACGCTGCAACACTACCTGGACAACATCGCCAACACCAACGACCCTACCGACGGCTTCGAGGGCCATCGGTCCTTCGCCGACTGTGCTGCCGTAGCTGACGCAGCAGAAGAAGACGTACCTGAAGCCTCGGAAGCTGCCGGACCACTCCCTTACTACTGCGTGCCCGTTCCACTCGACGACGACAATCCTCTCGATAGTAACAACCTCGACACTTATTACCACTTCGCTGACCAAGGTTACACTACACCTCAACCGGTCGACACAAATATCTCTGAACGCGTCGGACCCAATTTCTTACCCGACCCCGAAGACGGTGACGAAGCAGCTTATCCCGCGAATGACAATTCCCCTCGACACACACCACGGGCCTGCAGATACTTGGACTATGGGTCGCCGTCCAGAGCCCGCCACCACTGTCAACGCGAGAGCCATCGAGTATGTCGCAAGCTTTGGGGGGGGAACACAAGGCAAAATGGAAGGAAGCAATGGAAAAGGAACTGAAGGCTCTGCAAGACCGAAATACGTGGAAGTTGGTACCTGCAACAAAAACCAACGGGAAGAATGTGCTCTCGGAGAAATGGGTGTACCGCATCAAGACTAATGCGGATGGCTCCATCGACCATTTCAAGGCTCGCTGGGTCGTACGAGGATTCGACCAGCGATATGGAACCGACTACACGGAGACATTCGCCCAAGTCTCCCGACATACTTCCATGCGCATTTTGCTCGCCGTCGCGGCCACGAAAAAGCTACCACTACGCCAGATCGATGTCGCCAACGCCTTCCTGTACGCACCTGTGGACGCCGAAATCTTCGTCGAGCAGCCCCACGGATTCATCGACGATCCCACAAAAGTGTGCCAGCTGGTAAAATCCCTCTACGGAATTAAGCAAGCCCCGCAGCTCTGGCAGCAGCACCTTCACGACCGCCTCGTCAGGATCGGTTTTCTGCAGCTGCCGCATGATCAAGGCATGTACCGACTACAGAAAAGGGGGGGATTTCGTCCTGCTCATCGTTTATGTCGATGACCTACACTACGTCGGCTCCACAACCGACATCGCCACCTGGTTCGAAGGGGAGCTGAGGAGTGATTTAACACTCGCAGTGTCAGACACCGTGAGCCAGTACCTAGGTCTCAACATCGTCGAAAACGACCCGGCGTTCTACCTACACGCCGGAAAATACGCAGGCGTTGTCGCGAAGAAGTTCGGCCTAACGCCAGTCGCAGTCGCGACTCCTTATCGCTACGGGAACAACAACGAAACCTCCGCAAAGCTCCCCACGAAACAAATCCAGGAGTCTCAACAGAAGTTCGGCTGTCTACTGTTCGCAGTAGTAACCTGCCGACCGGATCTGTCCTACAGCGCGAGCGAACTGGCGACACACTTGAAGCAGCCGAAGCAAGAGGATCTCGAGGAGCTAAATCGGGCACTGCTCTACTTCGTCTCTACGCCGACGACCGGACTTACCTACAGCAAAGTAATGCCATCGTCCGTACAGCTACTTGGCTATGCCGACGCCGACCACGCACGAGATAGGGCGAATTGTCGTTCTAGAACGAGCTACATCTACCGAATAGAGCCTATCGGGACTATTTCCTGGCAATCGAGCAAGCAGGAACTATTTGCGATATCCTCGGCTGAAGCGGAATACATCGCTCTGTGCTCTGCAACCAAAGAGGGACTCTACCTACTGGAGCTGCTCGAGGAAGCGAAAATTACGACCATGCCCGCCTTCTCGTTATTCTGCGACAACCAATCCGCGATCAAAATCGCGAACAAAAACGGGTTCGCCAACCGAACCAAGCACATTGCCCTGCGGTATTTCTTCGTCAATGATGGAATCGCGAAGGAGAGACTTCAATTCAGTTACTGCCCCACGACAGAAATGGCTGCAGATTACCTAACGAAGAAACTAGCAAAGGCAAAGTTCGATTACTGCATGCTGCTGACCGGGCAGATAAACGTCACCGAATCCGGACACGTCAGCACTCCAGAAACGAAGGGGAGTGTTGGAAACACCTCAAAGACTTAAGCGTTTCTGAAGTGTAACACTACACGTGAAGAAAAGTCGTATCGAGTACACGAGTCAACGGTGGTTACACGAGGGGTTTCCAAAGACGAAAAGACGAAGGGACTCGAAGGGTTGCAACCGGAGGTTGCGACTGACCGTTGCAACTGCAAGGGTGGTAACCGAACCAACGATCGAGTCGCTGTGCGACTCAATAACCGTTTATTCAACTGTATTCTACAACTGCTTTATTTCCTATTTTCTATATATTCCTGTATGCTTGCTTCTTTTTATCAATCACTTGCTCTCACATACTAGCGCAAGGGTTCAACTACTCAACACTTCCGCTGCACTACTCAAACACCTTGTACATGTGGGACTTAGTCTCTGGAAAGATCCTAAGGGTTTTTCTCAGCCCAACAATAACCATATTTAGCCTATAACTTGTACATATAAAGCATATGTACAAGGGCGAATTCCTACAAAGTTGCATCAGAAACAAGTGTCACCGGCCAAGTGTCTGCAACCATTGGGCGACTCAAACAAGTCTTTGTTATGTGTGCACACTTGCTGCTGCTCCATTGTGCCTTCCTCACTTGGTGTGTGTGAGTGCACTCACGAAAGAGGTGGTTTGCACCGAATCTGATTGTACATATTGTTAATGATCACATGTTGAACGTTACAGAGTGTAGGGTGTATTCCAGGGCAAACCATGCTTTGAGGTGTTCCTTCACTGCAACATTATTGGTTGGTGGACCACAAATACTGTAATGACCTCCCTCACATGCCATCGCATGTTTCGCCTGCATGAGCGTTTCCTCGCGTGTCATCAACTGTATCATTTGGTGACGAAACGCGCACGCCCTTTTCCCCACCCAGGTTGCGCTCCCTCTTTTTGATAATCCCCCCAGGCTGCGCTGAGATAGAGCTTTCCCAGAGTCGCTTTTTGCGCCTTGCACCACACACTCCCCACTTTACCCCCTCCTCTCCCTCTATCAGGCGCCATCCGCGCTTTCCTTCGTCTCCACCTACCGCGGTGCTCCTCGCCCCGTCGCGTGCGCCGTTAGCCCCCGCACAGCCCCCCTCCGCTTCCACGCCGCTCGTCGCCGCGTCCTTCTGCGGAGCACCCCGCTGTCCGCCGTCGTCCGCGCGTTCGGCTCGTCGTCAGCCGCTCCCCGGCACTCTACCCTCCACGCCCGGCACTCTACCCTCCGCGCCCGGCACTCTACCCTCCGCGCCTGGCACTCTACCCTCCGCGCCTGGCACTCTACCCTCCGTGCCTAGCACTCCGGCCTTCGCGCTCCCCACGCAGCCATCTGCCCTACGCTCCGGCAATCTGCTCCCCGCATTCGGCATTCCGCATTCTGCCCCCCCGCGCTCTGCATTCCGCCTTCCGCGTTCCCCGCCGGTCCTCCGCTCTCACCTTCGCCGTCACTACTAACTCCCCACCACTCCCGCCACTCCTGCAGTGGAGCGGTGGTTCAGCGGCTGCAGCGGCAGGAGTAGTGCAGTGGTAGTAGCTGTGGCAAAGTGATGGCAGTGGTGCAGTGAGGCCGAAGCAGCGGCGCAGCAGCAGTAGCGCAGGAGAGCCGCCTTCACTCTCCTCTTCTCCCTGTGCAGTGGTAGTGGTAGCAGCAGCAGGATCACCAGAGGCAGCAGCAGCAGCGGCAGCGGCAGCGGCAGTACCTCCCGGTGGACCCCCCTGATGGCGATGGCGGACACTACCCCTCTGGACCTGTCCATCGTGGACCGCCTGGAGCTGGCAGACGACGGCACGGCCGTCAACTGGCGCTCCTACGCCAACACGCTGGCCATCGTGCTCCACACAGCTCAGGTCAACGGCTACACCCTGCACCACATCGTCACCAAGAAGCCCAGTGGCCTCCCCCCGCCTCCCCCCATGGATCCCGGGCCCGCACCCCCTCCCCTTCCTGCGCCTCCACCTCCCATGCCCGATGCCCCCGAACATTTGCCGCCTCCACACCCCGACGAAGACTCGGCTGAGGGAGAGTGTGCAATTCAAGCGTATACGGCTCGCTTTGGCGAGTACGTTCTCCAGGAGTTGGCCGTCACGGCCGCACAGGAGGCACTCGACAGCGCCACCGCTGCCCACGCCAAGCACGCTGCTGCCACAGCCGAGTACGCCGAGGCGCAGCGCCGCTGCAAAGCCTGGAAGGTGGCTGATGCCCGCGCCGTGTGTGCGATCCTGTCCACGCTGCCCATGGCCGTGAAGCGCGGGGTGGCCAACACGTCCTCGTCCAGTGCGCTCTGGCAGGAGCTCCAAGACAGGTTCGACCCTCGCGATTTCTACTCCACCTGCCGCCTCTTGGACCAGTACGACAGAATCACACTGGACAACAGCACCAGTGCACTCGACTACACGCGGCGCCTCGCCAACTCAGCAGCAGACCTCCTAGACCGCAGCGTGGAGCTGCCCCGCCTGCTGCAGATCCGCCGCCTCTTCCGCGGCCTCCCACCCTCCTTCTCCCCCTTGGCAACCGCCTACCAGTCCAAGATGCCGACGGACGTGACGGTGGATGCGGTGGTGGAGTGGGTGATCAGCACTGATAGAGCCCTCCGTTGCACGGCCGCCGCACATGCCCATGCTGAGCAGCCGTGCCCTGAGCAGCGCGGTGGTGGTCGCAGGCGCCGCAGACCCAGAGGTCGCCGCGCTCCGGCGGTTGATGGCGGTGCTGCGCAGCAGTCTCAGCACAGTCAGCTACAGCAGGCGAACTCTCCCCAGCCTCCCGTGCTTCTGTTCCAGCAGTTTCAGCAGTTTAACCTGCACCAGCACCAGCAGCCGCAGTCACAGCAGTACCAGCAGCCGCAGTCACAGCAGTACCAGCAGCCGCAGCAGTACCCACAGCTGCAGCATCAGCCGTATCAACAGCAGCAGCAGTACCAGCAGCCACAGCTGCCGCTATTTCCACTCTCGCAGCTGTTGGGGATCTATGCCGTCGCTCCCTAGCAGGCCCCCAAATTGGTTTTGGGCCTGTCTGATTCGTCAGAGTCCCTGCCTTCCCTTGGTATGGGTGTCAGTCACCTCCTTGAAAAAGTCTGAAAAATCAGAGTAGCCATGGATTCTTTGTCTGACCAATCAGAGTCATAGCCAAACTTGTGTATGAGCCTTTTTTATGGTTCTTCATTAGAGAATGCACTACATTTCACTACATACACGGAATCAGTCGATATCCTGCACATCCAGGCGCTGCCGGTGTTGGAAATATCTCAAGGACTTAAGCGTTTCTGAAGTGTAACACTGTACTCGAGGAAGATTACAGGGGAGCACGCGAGTCAACGGAGGTTACACGAGGGGGCGGACAAAGAATGCGAAAGGACTCGAAAGGTCGCAACTGGAGGTTGCGACTGACCGTTACAACATCACGGATGGTAACCGAAGCGGCAATCGAGTCGCTGTGCGACTCGATAAACCGTTTCTGTAACTGTATTCTACAACTGCTTTCTTATCTTCTATATATTGCTGTATGCTTGTTTCTTTAATCAATCACTTGTTCTCACATACTAGTACAAGGGTTCAACTGCCTCAACTTCCGCTGCACTACTCCAAGTCTCAAGTCTTTACAGCTGGGACTTAGTCTCTGCAAAAGATCCTAAGGGCTTTTCTCAGCCCAACATGGTATGAGAGCTGGTCAGAGATCAAAACTCCCAGCAACTACACTCCATCAACAACCAGCAACTCAACTTGATTTAACAACTCCATTGATTACAAGACATGGACAACAAGGGCAAGAAAGTCTCTACGGGCTCACCCAGCGCCCAAGAAACTCAACACGGCAACTCTGGTCTGCACACCTCAGGACTGCAGACAGAGACCGGGACTACTCAAGAAACAACGGGAAGAGTACCAGAGATGGTGACTCCGTCTCCCTCTTCAAGTGTGGACCCGAATCTCATGGAGAGATTCTTCAGCTTCATGTCACACTTCGACCAGCAGCAGCAGACAAGGACACCTGCGCACTCAACACAGAGCAATGGAGGGAATATGGGATTAGCGCCGATGAGCCTCGACAACTCATCCTTCGGGCGACACAACCAAGCGCCTACCTTTGCGCCTTATCATTCTTCGCCGGGGACGTTCGAATTCATGCCGCCCCGTGCCCAGCCAACAGCAGCTGCTTCACAACAAACACCGAATGAAATCTTAAGTTTACAGGCGCAGTTCTCACACGTGATCAAACTTCAGACATCCTCACCGTTCAACGGACACGACTTCTTTACCTGGAGCTTCGAGTTTGAGCTGCTGATGGAGGCCGCGCATCTTCTGGGATACTTCAACGGGTCCCTGCCATTCCCAAGCAACGGCACTGGGAAGGAACAAGAGATCTTCACGTATCAGTCGCTGCTGGCGTACACGGTACTCCTGAGAAACCTGTCACCACAAGAGCAGCAGAGCATCAGAACGTATCGGAGTTATGGAAACTCCGCGGAGCTCGCATGGCACCACCTCAAATGCCTTTACCAAGCAAACGACAGCGTGACACAAAGCAGACTCATGCAACAGCTGACAACAATACAGATGAAGACCGGGGAAAAGGCGATGCAGTATATGAGTCGCTGCCAGACCCTCCGCGACCGCCTGCTTCGGTGCGGAGGAACGATCACTGAAGAAAGCTTCGTGACACTTGTCCTCGCCGGGCTCGGGCCAGAATGGAGAACCACACGATCACTTCTTCGAGCCCACGGAAGAATTTCGGAGATGCACCTCTGCGCCGAGCTTCACGCTGAACAACAGGAGATGGATCTGTTCGAGGAAAGACAACCAAGGAAGCAACAGCAGTTAGTCTTCTACACTCAAAGAAGAAATGACAACAACTACAACCGACGCAGCAAGCAAGATCAACGCGACAACCGAGGACTCACCATCGTGCCGCCGTTCTGCCACAACTGTCAGACTTCCGGGCACTCCAAGGTCAACTGCAACCGCCCTCGCGTTTACCGTGCAGCAGACCCACAAGTCGCTTCCACTCAAGCAAGTCCTCCAAGGCGCTCTTCAACATCTGCACAACAAACACCCAACATCATCAACTGCATGGTACACATCGACAACTGCGCACCCGCTTCACCACCCACTTACGCACCAGACGAAGAGGAATTCCCGCCGCCGCGCTCGCAAGGACTTCAGGTCAACCCGACATACGCTGCAGTCGCTAACGCCGAACCCACCGGGCGGAACACCTGGTTCTTGGACAGTTGCTGCGGTCAGCACATGTGCTCCTCCGGACGCTTCGTACAACACGAGCGACGCCTCAACCGCGACGTCGTCATCACCGTCGCCAACAACGAAAACCTGAAAACAAACAGGCAAGGCGTGGTTCAGTTACAATCAATGGAGACAAACGTTATTCTTCAGCTCAACAAAGTCCTCATCGTCGACAATCTGGGATACAACCTACTAAGCGTAAGCCAACTAATGGCTAAGGGGATTCACCTGGAGTGCGACTCCTTCTCCAACGAGTTCCGACTTTACCACGGGAAGGGCGGTCTCTTCATCGGTCGTGCCCTCCTGAAGTCCGGTGTCTTCGTGTTGGACTTCGTCCCCGACCGCGGAACTGCCGACAGCGATGGCATCGTATCGTTCGCCGCCTGGACTCACCCACCAGATCTTGATCCCGACTTCGACAGTGACGGCTTCTGGCACTCCAACACCATACCTGCAGCAGAGAGAACACGGGCATTAGCAGTTATCAGACAAGAAAGACAAGTACCAGCAAGCGTCCCAACAAAACCATCACCTGCAGTATCGGCAGCAGGACCCAGCCGAGTACCACCACCATCAACACGAGGACCGCCAACGGAAGCAGACCAACTTATGCCCGCCACACGAGAAGCTTGTCGAAGTCCCGCCTCGGTCGTCGCGTTCTTCTCCAACGCCGACATCTACCACCGCTCGCCCGGTCACCGCGCTCCCGACGACATCTGGCACCAACGTCTCGGACATCCTGCAAACAGCACGATACTACAAACAATACAAGCAGAGGTGTTAGAACGTAACGCCCTTCTAACGACGAGCGGCCAAGAACTTCGCCGACCAAGAGCACGATGCTTCACGTGCCCCAAAGCAGATCTTCCTCATCAACCTTTCCCAGCCCATCACAATCCAAGCGCACCCACTTACGCTCCGATGGAAAAGGTCTACAGCGATATTCTAAACATGCCTCGAGACGACACCGAAGCCAACTTCAACTACGTCATCACGTTCATCGACGCCGCAACCAGATACGTCTGGCACTTCAATCTCAAAACGCGCGATCAAGCCTTCGAGGCCTTCACCACATGGCTTCCAATCGCCGAACGAGAGTCAGGAACCAAACTCAAGAGTTTCCAGTCAGACGGTGCACTGGAATACCAGTCACAACGCTTCAGGACCTATCTCGCGGAAAGGGGAATCCGACGCCTGGTGTCTCTGCCCTATGCTCACCAGCAGCAGGGGGTAGCAGAACGCATGAACCGGACCTTGCAGACGACGATGCGAAAACTGCTTCTGGGGATGAGGCTGCCCAATACACTGTGGCCAGACGCGATGACACATGCAGTCCACCTGCACAACCTGTTGTCCTCGTCATCGCTCCCCAACAACGCATCACCGCACCTGCTGTGGACGGGAAAAAGGGGCAGCACAAAATTACTTCGAGTTTTCGGCTGCATGGTACAATACAGACCCCACACAGCTCGAGCAGGACGCTTCACTCAACGAGCTCGGTGGGGACTACACCTCGGCATCGCCAAACATTTTCACGCGTGGAAGATTCTCGACATACACGACAAAAATACGGTGGCATCACGTGATGTTATCTTCTACGAGCGACTGACGCTGCAGCATTACCTGGACAACATTGCCAACTCAGACGACCCCACCGACGGCTTCGCGGGCCTTCGCTCCTTCGCTGACCATGCTGCCGAGGCTGACGCAGCAGAAGAAGACGTCCCTGGAGCCTCGGAGGCTGCCGGACCACTCCCCTACTGCTCCGTACCTGTTCCACTCGATGAAGATAATCCCCTCGATAGCAACAACCTCGACACCTTTTACCACTTCGCTGACCAAGGCTACGCTACACCACACCCCGTCGACTCGAATATTTCCGAACGCATCGGGCCAAACTTCTTACCCGATCCTGAAGACGGTGATGAAGCAGCTTATCCCGAGAATGAAAACTCCCCTCGACACACAGCCACGGGACTGCAGATCCTAGGACTATGGGTCTCCGTCCAGCACCCGCCGCCGCCTTCTCCGCGCGAGCCGTCGACCCTGTCGCAGGCTCTGGGGGGGGAACATAAGGCACAATGGAAGGAAGCGATGGAAAAAGAGTTAAAAGCTCTGCAAGACCGAGAAACATGGAAACTGGTACCTGCAACGAGCATCAACGGGAAGAACATTCTCTCGGGGAAATGGGTGTACCGCATCAAGACCAACTCAGACGGCTCCATCGAACGATTCAAAGCTCGATGGGTCGTACGAGGCTTCGATCAACGATACGGAACCGACTACACAGAAACCTTCGCTCCAGTCTCCCGTCACACCTCTCTGCGCATCCTACTCGCCATCGCGGCCACGAAGAAACTACCACTACGGCAAATCGACGTTGCAAACGCCTTCTTGTACGCACCTGTGGACGCCGAAATCTTCGTCGAACAACCCCACGGATTCATCGACGACCCTTCAAAAGTATGCCAGCTGGAAAAATCCCTTTACGGGATCAAGCAAGCCCCACGGCTCTGGCAGCAGCACCTTCACGGCCGGCTCGTAAAAATCGGATTCCTACAGCTACCATATGACCAAGGCATGTACCGACTACAGAAGGGAAGAGATTACATTCTGCTCATCGTCTACGTCGACGACCTGCTCTACATCGGTTCTACCACCGACATCGTCACCTGGTTCGAAGGGGAGCTGAAAAGGGACCTGACGCTCACGGTGTCCGACGAAGTTACCCAGTACCTAGGACTGAACATCGTCGAAGACGACACGGCGTTCTACCTACACGCTGGAAAGTACTCAAGCACCGTCGCGAAGAAATTCGGTCTAGCACCGACTGCGGTCCCAACTCCCTACCGCTATGGGAACAACAGTAGCGCCTCCACAAAACTCCCCGCGAAACAAATCCAGGAGTATCAACAGAAGCTCGGCTGCC